AACGCAGTAGACTAGAAGATAGCGAATGCTTCAAAGACGGAACTAAATTATAAATCATGGTTAATAGCATATAAGTGAGGCTGGAGTGAGTAGCCGTGCGTGTTATGCTTTATCCAGCATTGATGCTGGTTATTTATAAATTATTATTTGGGTGTGTACTAGGATGTATGATCGATGTACCATTGCATCTAGCTCATTAGACTATGACACGTTTGTTTGCCTAAAAGACCAGCAGGGCATTTCTACCACGCTTGCATTGTCCTTGTTCCACGACGCGATTATGACTAGTCTAAGGGTCACGCAGTCAAATTTTTGTTGTATGAGTTTTTGTCGCCTCCGCTAGTGCTATGGACAAACTTTGGTACACTGCGTATCGTCTCGAATTGATGGAGGTTGGAGCCAAGTACACACGTTTAGAATGATGTGTAGTTACTTGTATACTAGTAGCCCCTTAATGCAGAGCACCGGAGAGCCGGAACATAGTTAGACTAATGGCATGAGGTCGAGTAAAGAACAGACTGCACGTAGAAAATTGCGCTTTAGTTGTTGAAATTTTTCTGTCAAGATTGGTCTTCGTAAGACGTCTGCAAATACAACACGAGCATACATGTGAAGGTGTTGTCCATGAGTAGCAAAACAGAAATGCTATTTACTAAAAACTGTGGAAGACGTACTGAATGTTTGACTTTCCACTACGTTGCTTGATGAAGTATTGCAAAAGGAAGCTGAGTAAAGAGGCAGGATTCCAAAGAAAACCTGAAAGTGGATAAAACTCCATTAAAAGAAAAACTTTGAATGCTACAAACGGAAACGTTGGCTGCGGCTGCATTTAGTTACCATAATACAAAGACTGCGAATACTCAACAGTCCTATGCTACTCACTTCAATTGATCAGCAGAGTTTTGAGACAGTGTGTAAGACGTCATATTGACTGAGGTTTCATAGGTCTACCTACACTGTTATTGTGATGGAACGAATATGGGAAAGAAGCTAAACTCTCACCTACAATAGTAACTTAGTTTGTGATCTAAGTTACATTTGGCGAAGCTGGTGCATGTTACTTGACAAGTGATAGGTATAATCGTCTTTACCAAACTTTATTTGGATTTGTAGGTAACAGCTTGCCAACTTGGCGCTACACGACGCTATAAACTGGAAATGTGTGCTTGTCATTCAAGCCCGCCTTGATTGCGCATCTTACTTCTGTGTAGCAAGCTGAAGGGCTATGGCGCATGCGTGGATGAACTGAGTCCTAATTTAACCCTCTAAAAGTCAATGTTGACATTCTTAAACTTGTTTGCTGCTAAATTTTATGGAAAGTCTCTATTATACCAACAGCCCGACAAGTTGAGCAGCTTACTAGTTGTTTCTTCAAGGTTAATCTTTGGTCTCTGATCACTGCAATACACAAATCAAACTAAGTCGTCCAGCACTTTAGAAAGACATAAGTAGCTACCTTGTTGAACGATTGGCTTTGGAGTACACTTATGTCTAACGTATAGTGCGGTCCATTTAAGTGGCAGGATGTGTATGACGTGTGCAAACATTTTGTCGGAACCCCAGATCGCAACCTCCGAAAATGGATGGGCGCGGAGGTAGAATTTCTTATGTACAGTAAAAATGTGTGTAAACTGTGGTCTGTGCTGTTACTGAATGAATAACAGTATGAAAGCATCCTAGCTGGCTTCCGTCTTTTCCTGTCCGTGGTGTAGAAACGGATAAAACGTAGCGGAAAGTTTCCTGGTATTATGCGTAACTGACAAAGCATGCGATTCTTCATTGATCAGCTTTGGGTGCATGTGTTCTGTTGAAAGCTCTAAACAAAGCGACCATATGTCATAGGAGGCAAGATGGGAAACCGTCACTTGAATTAATTGTAACACACAAAAATTGTGGGGTAAAGGAGACTTACGATGCGTTTTGAATTCTCAAAAGGGTTTGGCTTTTTTTGCTATTTTCAAAACAATTTATCTTTTAATTGGTTTTCTAAACGAGACTAGGTCTTACCACGATTCGATGGTTTGCACATCTCCTCGACGAGTCGAGTTTTACTGGGTAGTGCCCTAAGGATCTGAGATCAATATCTACGATATTGATCGGTGGTTAGTGGTCAAACGAACTTCGTCTCTTAGTCCTCTAGGCTTGAATTGGTAATGGGATAGTATGCATTTCGCTAGAAGCAAAGCATAGCCACCTCCTCGCTGCCTTGCGGACAGACTTTTGAGTCAGACGCTTTCGTTGAAGACCCCAGTCGTTACTCTGTTAAAATTTGTGCACTCTGGTAGTATCTCAGCTTACGTATAATCCTGATTATTTCCTCAAACATCAACCACCTTCTGCATCGGTTGTACTGCAACCTTAGAACTTTCCGCTTATCTGCTGCATACAGCAGGGCAGTTAGGCGAAAACTTGCGAGTGCTGATGCTTCCCTCTTTCGCTTTTCTCCTGTTTTTCTTACTCCTCCACCGACCCTTATTACTAACTTTCCTTCCATAGTTCCATGCTAAATCGGTGCTAGCCGCAACACAACTGCAGCTATGAATAAACAACTAAATAAACTGTGTATTCCTTGCACTACACACTACTCGTTTCTCTGAGTGCGTTCAAAGTCGACACACTAAAAGAAATAGTTTAACAGGCTGTTCTCGCACGAAAGTTAGATATCTCGGGTGGGGACGTGTGTTAAGTGTCCGGAGCTAGAATAAGTGGCTCTCACGAGATTGATGAAATAACTACACTAAGCTTACCTTATCATTATTGGTTACACATATCCAGAAACACTGGTGCAACAATCACTGCTTAAATTAGGGAGTGCGTCATTTTCAGTTTCAAGGCCGAGCCATCGTTGATTTGTTGGATTTCTATGAACAATTGTTCCTATGCAGCTCTTTTAACGAACTCCGCTAGGGTTGATTCACAATCAGTGCTAAAAGCCTTTTGTCGGTGGTTGCTGCTTATGTTCCCAATGACCGCAGTTCGGATGCTACCATGCACACGATCCATTACGAACTGAGAAAATAATCCCTGAGATGACATCGGAATCAAAAGAGATTTAGGCGAACAAGCTTGTTCGCCTAAATCTCTTTTGATTCCATTACGAACTGTACATGCTGCTTTACAACGTTACTAGCTCAGACGTTGTTGTTCTTGCAGGGTATATGAGTGCTCATGTATGTCGCCTGAGCTTTTTAGAAGCTCAACTATGTAGTAATTATGCACTTATATCCAACAGGAAGAACAACGGCAATCATATGTTGCAACTGCTTGCGGAGCACCAGTTATCTTTTAGTAGCGCCGCTTGTAAACAGTAGGCTCTGAAGGGCCACTTGGTTTTCCCCTAAAGCTGGCCAGCGAGGGACACAAATATATCAAGTTGTCATTTATTGCAGGTGGTGCAGTGTTTCCTGGGTTCTCTATTGTTCCGGAACACCTGCATCAACTCTGACCATGCTTTGGTACGCTGTCGTTTTCCATCGGAGATTGCGGTCCGAAACACGACTACAGCCATTAATCGTTTTCGAGGTGCTGATGTGACTTCTGCTACGCCCACACTATTTGAGAACGGTAGTAAACTCCTGTGCAAAGCATTGTCTCACCCGTTTGAATAGGTATGAAGGAAAGAAACCATGAAAGACAACTGGCGTGTATCGATCATAATATCAATATACAAAAGAACCGTTGCGCTGACTGTGCTAACTACATTGCTGCTGGTCTAAAGCCGATGGTGACAAAATTATTTGCCTTACGTCTTGTTCGGCGCCTCACTATGGAACTGGAATCTCACATTAGGTAAGAGTAAAAGGTTTCCGCCTATTTCCTAGCGGTTGGTGCTAGAGCACCGTCTTCGATGGTACAGGCTGAGAAGATACTTGTTGCACCAGGAGTCAAAGTTGTATAGAACCTCTGGTTTGTGTCGTTCGATTTTGGCAGTCTCAGTTTGGCTATCGTAAACAGTGGTAAAATTCTTGTCAGTTATGCGCACGATACAAAATGAACTGGAATAGGGAGACCATAGACGCCGATGTACGCTATCTGTGCGAAAGTCGAAACATAAGACATCAGCGACAGCATTACGTCTGTGCTTTGAACGGATGCTTTACTATCGCCCAGTTGCAGTAAACTAGTGGGCCAGGATTAAGAAGAAGGGAAGAATGGGAAACTAATGTAAACACCAATATCCTAGGTAACCATGCAACACCCAGGTGCGAATGCCTTGTCATCAACACATGGCTACAAACAACTGGCTATCGTGCGCAGATTAGACGGCACCGAGAATACAATACCTTTGCGGCTTTTGTTGCCCAGCGTCCCAGTTAGTCGGTACCACGTGCACAATTTAAATTCCCATTCATCAACACTACTGTTGTAACCTCGTCGCTATGTATGCAGCGACGTTAGTCGGAACAACGGTTCAGGCCTTGTGGTTTGTGTCCGGTGCGGTCAGTTGGCTGGTTGGATTCTAATCGAGGCGCCACGAGTAATGTAGTCGACCAACGGTCCTCCCTCATTGTACTGCGACCAACAGGAATACCGCATGACTACAAGTGGATCCGCGAGACCAAGGGAGAAGACAGTGTACAAAGCTTGGAAACTAAATCCTTTGAATGAAATTTGAAATTCGTTCACAGAACCATTTACTTCATCAAGGTGCCCAAAGTTGTATTGTTACGGGTTAGCTGCTGTGCAAGCACCACTGCTTTGGGAATATTGGACAATGTTTAAACTCAGCTCAAAAGAAGGGTTGCGAGACACAGGTTCCAAAAGCCATACCGTCCTTCTACACAAACAGAAAGTCAGAGTAAGCCGGGATTAATTTGTATATCAAAACACAAATCGAATATTCCACTGCTTATCACGTGGGTATTTATGCATCGCTTTAAACAAGCCTCCTTATATGTCCCCACCGGCGCTACACGAAGTCTCACGTTTAGGTTGTTCGTTTCCTACAGGTAACTGAAAAGCACTGTTCACTTACAACTCACATTACTCTGCCCCTGCAGGTGTTATCATTCGATGCATATTTCCAAGAATCCGTGACTGAGAGAAGAGAAGAGCAATACCGCATAAGGCGATGCAAGATCTATTTTTACCCAGAAGATGACACAATTCAAGTCGTAGAGCCACGTTATGCAAACGCTGGTATTCCACAAGGTGGGTAGTTCATGAGTTGCTGCGGTTTTTCTGCGGGCTGAATTGAGCACACCATCGTAATGCGTTTGCAGTCAGCCTTAACCATTACAAACTTTTCACGCTTAGTTCAAGGATTGGTCTACAGAAGGAATCGTTCGCGCCAAGTCCACTGCAGTACCTTAACTGTCACTTCCTAACTTACTGTACAGAGTAACATATTGTGGTTTTCGTTACAGTCTACTCTAAGGTTGGCGTTAAAATCCACAATCCCAACCACAAGACACATTTTAGTGGGTTTGCTTCCGAGTAAGAATGACGTTCATTGGTGTTCTTGCCGTCACTAGTTGGTGTCGTCAAACTACGGGGTGCCGCACGCCCCACATTTTAAAGCATGATCCTTTCTACAAATTGCAGTCATATAGACTTTCGCGTAATTGTGCACCGTAACCCCGAGAGATACTGTATATTACCGAATATAAGCCTGTCCACAGATAGGCCGACAGTATAACTTTGCAACATCAAATTTGTCCAAATTCGTAAGTCCCTACCTTAGCCGACCCCCAACAAATCAGCTAAAAGAGAGATGAAATTGTTTCTCCACGATTTTAACTTCAGCACTACCTGATCTCACTTGAATATGTTCAAGCTAAACGTGGTCTACCATTAATCTGTTGTACCGACCGTCATGTGTTATGATCGCGGATAGTTGGTTGTAGAGCCTTCAGCGCAGACTTTCACCGCACCGGACAGTGAATTGATTAGTTGACAAGTCAGAGGAAACTGGTAAGACAGTCGGTAATATGGAGCATGATGTAAGGGTGTGTCAGACACTCCACCCCATGCAAAGGAATCACAGTAGAGCAGCGGTGAGAGCGAAGTCCACGGTCAGTCGTATGGGATGCTGTTGAACTTGTAGTGCGCCGGAGCGCCTAGCGCAGCATAATATCTAAGCGCTGTGATTCACTACCCAAAATAGCGCTAACGCGATGTCACATGATCCAGCTGAGAGGGAATATACCCACCTTTCGTGTGATCTTCTAAAGCCGTGAAAATGTGAAAAATTTCTCAACAGAAGCGGTACATATGCTGCTGGCTTTAACTTGAATTCTATCGCGTTTGCCGAGCAATCTACTAATTGTAGGCTGAACGCCATTTCCTCGTGAATTAAAAGCAATTGGGAGAGTGGCGAAGGGAAAAGTTAGAATGTCAATAATGTTTGTAAGCATGAAAGCAACACATGGTAGAAAACCATGTTTCCTGCGCTGGGCAAATATTTAGCGCAATGCGTTATGGAGTCACGACATAGCGGGTTAATTGTTACCCGAACGAACATTCGGATCAGGACGTTCAGAATGCTAAACCAATCCAGAATTCCAGTCATCAAAACCAGTGATTTTTGTTGCTTCCTCGGGATGGTGTAATCGTTTTATGAACCGATGCGACATGCGTCTACTGATCCACACAAACCTAGTCTAGCAACTGCCGAAGGAATTGGATATTCATGTTGGATCTCTTCAAAAGTTCATGGTTCAGTTGAGAACGAAATACGATTTCGAACTGATGCAAATTGAGAATATGGACTGGACGCCTTTGTGCTTTGATATGCCTTCAACTCGCACGGTGGAGCAGAAAGGCGCAGAGTTATTATAAAGACGATGAGAAACGAGAAGGCACCGTTCACTGTCGTGGTAAGAGTTTTGTGGTCCATGTATCTTGCTACCTGATTTATATAAGTAGGCAGGTAATTAGCTTTTTTAACCTAGTGAGCGGGAATCTATAGTGATTGCCATGATTCAACAATGCCAGAGAACAGTTTCGAGAATATCAACGCATTTCTGACTACCTTCCTAATGGGTCTACCGTTGACTGTTAGTAACCCTTCAGTCGATAACTCACTATAACCAGCTGCTTTTTCTGGACTGTATCTCAGCTCTGCTGACTGCTCCACCACATTGAAAACAACCATCACTGCTCACATGTTGCCAATCACTCTCAGAATATCAGTTACCCATAACCTTGTAACGTTGTAACGCTGTAACTGACTTCTGCTTATCATAGAACACATGGTTTGCTATCACCAGGCAACGCGCTTTGTGGCACGTCGTAAACACGTTTAAGCGCTTGCTTCTTGATCTTCCAACTTTGCTTCCAAAGCAACACTTGGAGTAGATCCACCAATCCCAGGACTCTGTATAACGAACCTGCCATCTGGGGATAACAAGTGTCTCTGTCCGTTCGAAATATGTTCCCTAAAGTTGGGATAGCATTAAAGTTCCGTCTCTTCTCGCTGTCATCATAACTTTTCATCAAGAGATACTTAAAGAATCAAGATGGGCTTCTCTAAAGGCGCAGTAATAAACGCCCATGATACACGTCTACATTAGAGGCAGTCGAAATATGCCATAACATGAATTCTAACTGCTTAACATAGTTTTCGTGTATGGGACTAATCTCAACATTACGAGGAGTATTTCAGATTGCTCTCCATAGTGCGTATTCCTGGTATTATTTATTTATTCACATTGTTATTAGGAAGTTAGACGACACCTGGTGACGTCACTCAAATTGTCCTTAAGGAGATCAGAATAACGACAATGGTCAAGCTTCTATCTCAGTAGTGATCAGGGGTTACTTTTCTACCTTATTCTTGAAGGTAAAGACAGCAACAGTATTTTCACCAAACTGTGAGACTCATTACGGAAATGATAATACTTCCCTCCAAAGCCCCAAGAAGGTCATGTACTGTGACAAAATGGTAACTGATCATAATTATGGCCCGTCCAGATCATTCTTAGTCTAAAGGTTTTGTGCGCTTTTCCGTTTTTTTGTAAAATGGGGGACAGAGTAAAGTTTACCCAAAGTGTAAAAGTTTGAATTGCGACATATCCCATAATCTCCGCACACCTTCCAGTGACCAGTGATGACCGCAGTAATGACCTCAGCGGCCTTACCTTGGACTATCACGGTTCTGAAGTAATTACCGGTGTGCAGGCGCCAGTTCCGGCATGTGTAGTTTGCCGGTCCAGTAAATTATTTTGGCCATGTGACAGTCTGGCCGAATAAAGGCAGGGAACCATGGAAAAATAAAGTAATAATGGACTTGGGCACCTCGGTCAGTGTTATCTTCCTGTGCGGAGCATCATTACTGAAAGGGATGGGATTCGCATGAGTACACGAATTCCTGCCCTAATAATCCTTGAGATGTTACTTCAATTTATGTATGATAGCGGTATGTGCAGTCTTATTGCCTTCGTTCAATGCCTTCACTTCCTAGGTACCATCATTCGTCGACATCGGATAGCAAAGGCACCGCCAAATGAGCATCTGTACTACACTGTGGACGATTTTAATATTGGAAACGAGTTCACAGCGTATGGGAAGACTTTTCGCATAGTCGGATGTGATCCGTTTACCGCGTACTTCCTTCGCAAGCTAGGTGTCCGCTTGGGAGACCCGGAGCCGATTCCGGATGATCCGTACACCGTTCACCGTAAAGCTGTAAGCCAATAAATCACACAATCTCACGCATCACCACTACACTGTTAGATGCATCTTGTCTTTGTTGTTCCTTCAGTTTACAGAATCAATGCAACCGTTGAGACCATATGAGAGGGTTGACAAGCTGAAACAGTTTCTGTATCATGATCGTCACGTGCTCCGATTCTACTGCTTCTGGGACGACACAGAATCGTTATACGGAGACCCGCGGAGCATGATCCTTCACTATTTTTTGGGTGAGTGCGACCGGAAATTTGCTTACCTTGACTAACGTTCTTGGAGGCAAATAATATAATGCCCCCGCCCAACAGAGTCTATAAATAGCTGCAATGAATTCTTTATGCTAGCCATTACTTGAAAAATAGAATGCAACTTATTCGCGTTCCTAAATCTGAGCCCGGTGTGAGCCACACGTCTCAAATTAATGGTTAATTTCAATGCCACAATCAATCGTTTCCATGATGCTTCCAAAGTGGCTTCATACTACGACAATGACACCATTGCGTAACCTGACAGAATCAACCAGGATTTCAAGTTCAGGGGTTAAGAAAGTGCCAGTCTCCTCAAGAGCCCTGTGAGGTGGCACTGCGGATTTATACTAATACAGGCAATGATTAGTGTTTGTCAACCCGTGCGCCGAACATTTGTCGTCTCTATGCAGTATTTGTTGGGGACACTATATACCAAATACGTCAAGTGAAGAAGGAGTGGAGATTGGGAGGGTCGTTTTGAAGTACTCCTTGTGTGAATGGATTGCGACGTGCAATCTTAACTCATAGCACAGCTAATGGAAACATCTCAGGCCCTACCAGCGCATGGACATGTTGCACACCTATCTTTCACCCCGTCATACCCATTGCCTCTTAATGGCGGTGGGGCACCGACAGACCGTCAAGTCGATGGGCAAGGATAAGAAAATGGCTGCGACTCCCCAAAGACACCAGTGTTGCTTTCTTTCACGCATCAATTGAGGATTATGGCCTACGGGTTCCGTACCATTGCTTCGAAAGGACCGCTTAGAACTTCATCTTTCACTATCCTATCCAATTATCAGCTGGGCAATACGAGAATCTTAAGCAGCTGCCATCCACCGCCTTGCCACGAAACTCGTCATCATTCCGAATCACACCCTCTTTGATAAAAGTAACGCGAAGGAAGCATGGAAGAACTCACTGCTGTACTCAGTGGACGGATCCTTGTTTCGGAGGGGGGGGTAATTATGACGCAAGCGTCTCACAATTGAATAAGAAATCCCGTGAGAATTTCCCCAGACTCTACATCAGAGGAACGTAACGACGGGCTGCGGTTGCGTCAACAAAATCTCGCTGCACTAGGGGACAACCGCCGCTAAACTCAATTGATCTTCACTGTCGCGGCACGTGCACACAAAACGAAACACTTTCTCACGTACTGCAGTCTTATGCAGTAACCCACCATTCTCACTGTAAGACACAAAATGATATTGTGAAGCAACTAACAAGCATTCTTCGTCGTATAGGAGCCCAAATCATCCAGGAGCCCCGCATCCCAGCTGCAGCAACGTACCTCATGCCGTCTTTACTCGCCATTAAGAACACCACAGCACATGTAATCGATGTGGCAATATGCGACGCCTACAGTATAACCAGTACCTATCAAAACGGCACGCCTCACCTTGTCCAGAATAAATATTTATTTATTTATTTATACAATTGGCAACAACGATGTAAGTGCTCATGCGAAGGTCATAGCCCGCTTTGTGTGCCCTGAATTTCCTACGTCATTAAATATTATGCATCACCCGATAATTATCAACAACTAGGGTCATATATTTCCAGCGTCCACAAGCAAATTTCGGCACTGGGGCTTACCAGACTTGACATATCCGACTGGTGTGTGGGCCTATAATGAGAGGATCCGTTAAAGTTCACGATACGCACAAGCGGGGCGCGATGCCACAAAACAAATCACACTAACACCGTACAATCACACATTCGCAAGCAACTCCGACCACTTCTTTACGTTTTATTTTATTACTATTTCTTTAGTACGCCAGGACATTTGTATAATCTCGCGAATTTATGTATGTATTTGTCGAAAATATATGTTCATGGACCGTGATTCACATTGAAGTGAACCTCGGTCACTGCGATCACTGGGACCGTAGCCGAAGCAGATGGAAATTAGTTGTTGCACGCCCGAAAACACTGCCCAGCCACAACGCATTTCGATGTCATTTCATCTCATCAGATGGAGATAGCAGACGTCGAACCCGCGACCATCGCAACAGTGGCCGAAATCTCTACCCCTTTGGCTACCGGATCACAGCAAACAATGCTTGGCACAAGAGTTAATGACTGATTGGAGGGTCATTTTAGATTGCATGTTGTGTGATTAAATTGCGACACACAATCTGAATGTAGACCGCAATGCATAATTAAATCAACCTTGGTCCATGCGATCACTGGGACCATAGCCGAAACAGATGGAAAATGGGTATTCTCTTGCCTACATCCATGACTGCTCGTATTCAATCAGGTTGCCGCATATCCCTGCATTTCGTTGCAAAAAGCAGCATGTTATCCTTCTCCGGCTGTCAACTGAGGATCTGGTCCACCCATCGGCTCAAATACATGTCATGATGCTTCTTCCTTCGGAGGAGACGAATGGTTGTGGAATAGAATTTCTCTTACCACGTATACCACCAGAACTTCTGCCATCAAGTTACCGCGTCTTTTGTATTCAGAGAAGTAACTAACCCTGATAACTTAGGGTAAATGCAGTCAGGCGAGTCAACAGATGCGGAGTCTACATAACGACTGCGAAATCTGCTTGATTCGAGAAATAAACTAAGCAGGAGCTTCAGGTAAGTGTTACAGGTTCGCCCAACCATTGAGAACGCTGGTTGCGGCAATCTTTGACACTTGTGGACAACACTGCTGCTTTCATTTGCGTTACGGAACGTTGTCCGTCTCATTGATGATGGGGGCAAATAGAGTCTAAGTGTGCTCCTACTTCTGGGTTTCCTCGTCTTCAGGTGAAGCTGGCTGAACTATAGCCAGTTGACGTGGAGGCTCTACCTGAAGTTGAAGTGCGAACAGATGCGCAATTCTCAGCAATTTCCCTCGTTGCTAATCTGGATTTTACTGTACCATGTTGCTTAAGGTTAACAGTGGGACTCTATGGAAAAATATCCTTCATGCTTAAACCCGTTAGGAGGTGGACTCTTAGCCGGGCTGAACTAGTCATGATTTTCTTGGTGACGGGGAAATGAAGTTACTAAACACCAGATTAAACGTTGTTGCTCAGTCATTTCCAAGGCTGGAGTCCAAGCCATTTGTTGTACTTGGATTCATTCACTCGAGAGTCGGCAGCAGTTTAGGGTTTGTTGCCAACATCTAGTTGGGCTGTATATTTAACTTGTGTCTTTTACCGATTAGTCGGTGGCTCGTGGTTCATTATGACGCAGGACAATGAAGCCAACAAGGAAGTTTGCTATGTTGCCAATGACGCGTCACCCTCACAGTAAGGCCAAATGTTTGTGCCGTTGCTGTACCACCAAGGCGTAAGTGTGTTAGACCCCAATGCTTACGCAGTGCGTTTATGCTCTGTATTGGATCCAATCTTGACATGCTCCTTGTTCCACGACCTCAACGTCGTTTGTGTTGATTTATGTCTGTGTGACAACGAAGTGCAAACACAATACACCAGCGCACCACTGTTGATTTCATTACTCCGTTTAGCAGCTAAGTCAATCTGAACTATCCATCGTCCGTCTTTGTGAACCTTTTTATGGAAGCACAGGACGCGTGTTTCATGGTGCAGTCGGTTTTGAGCTTAAATATATCCACGTGATCGCTAAGGGGAATAGGTAATGCCTTCGGAATGTTGCTTCGGGAACAAGAATATGTTAGGCCTAAGTGGTGTTACGGATAATGGCCCTGCCACCACCCTGTCAACTTCTAGTATACATGTTTCCCGGCTATACCTCACTGACAAGATGGCAGATATGAGGCCAGTTCGAGTCACATGTTTTCACAGGGCATGAACTGCTTTCGCTCTAAAATTTCCTCACGCAGATCTAGCAATTCTAGGATCACGATCTTACCCACTTATACTGACTTAATACTATAACATGTTACCTTCCACTCGCATTCATCCAAGATCCGCATCTTCAACTTTGAATCGTGTTGGCACTGAATGATTCGCTCATCGCCGAATACTGCAGTCTAGCTCTAGCTGTAGCCCAGTTAGTGGTTCCATGAAGACAGATCTAGTTGAAGTAAATCTTTTATTTAGTACAGCAAAAGATTCCCTATTGTCTTAGCTATAAAATAACTAGCTAGCTAGGGGAAACAAAAAGGTGCAGCACACAAATACACTCGCGCGTTGCAACCACAAACGAGCGCCAAGTGAAGGCGATACTCGACCCAAACAAGTGAACTCAACATGAACTTCAACAATCCTCGTCTTTCGCCTAAAAGTACAATGAGCTGGTAACTTTGTTTAGAATTTTGCACAAGCAAACCAGGGAAAGCTCAATACTGCTACACGGCGGGTAAGGAATCAGCGCTCATTCTATGGCCATAACCTACGTAAAGCAAAGCAAAACGCATCAGACAAACTGTAGGCAGACTACATCCTAACCGGGATTTTGTGCTAAGCATGGAACATGTATTTTAATCCGAGTACTGAGTAATTGCGCGTCAAGCGGACGCACGCTGTCAAACGTGGCCAAACAATTTTTGTCTCAGGTTGCTGCATTTACACTTTTTCGTCTCGCTTTGACGAGCTCCAACTACAGAAAACAATTTCGCTGGAATAATTTCTACAGAGATTATTTCTACCGGATTTACAAATTTGAGCAATTTCCCCCCTTACTCAATCGTGAAATTTCGCGCAGTTGCAATCACCCACCCAGGATTTTGGCCTCGTTCTATATAGAAGGCTCCCAGTTTTCGATCAAGCTTTCACTCGTCTTAATCCATCACCATGTGTTACAGATACAGAACAAACTACCTTTCCTTAGTGAGACCCTCTCAGAGAAGCAACCGTCAACTTTCGCCGCTCCTGATTTCAACCAGCGCGATCAACCGGCTTACCCATCATGATAATTGGTTACACCAAACACCCTACACGTGATCGTATGACGCACGGACACAACACACATAGCACGATGAGCCAGCCATCTGATTTTGACCTGACGGTCAGCGACTGAACGCTAATCGGTGGCGAACATATGCTTAGCCACAAAGCA